GTGATGACTGCCACATAAAAAAATTATAGAGTCCACCAACTTATGGGTAAAAACTTTTGTGGACATATTAGCTAATAGAACCATTTCTCACATTGACAGCAGAAATGGATTGGTTAGTTTAGATTGCTTCAGTTCAATGTTCACCTAATCTCTTGTATGCTTAACTGCTGTCATAAGCAGAGTGAACTAACTCCATTAACAGGAATTGAGAACAGCATGCAGCCTATATGCCTCAGGTACAATGAGTGAACATTTGTCTTCAACAGGAGTAAGATAGAGCACAGAGTCAGTAATCATACTCCAATTACAACATCACTGTGCTTAAAATGTGATTTACATTTATGTTAGAAACTGTTGCTTTAGCAAATTATTCTTCTTCTATTCTAATATATATATTCCTACATGATTAATTTAGCAAATTCTCAAAACAGAGAATCCATCAAGTCTGTTCAAAAAGTTTATCTCCTAAAAGACTAGCTGTAAATGCTTACTGTAAGTACCGCAAATGGAGTAACTAAATATGGTTTATACATCAGCAATGCAAACTGAATGTAGTTACTGGAATTTTCTTCTTTTCTCTAATATCTAAATACAATAAATTTCAGTGAGCAACTCTTGGGCTGAAAATAGATTAAACTTGTTTTTCAATGATTTTCTGGCAAATAACATAACAAATATATTTGCTATATGTGAAATGCTTTCACAGAAACACAAATATGAACAAAGCTTTTATTTAAACATCAACATCAACAATTGGCATAAAATCCATAAAAATACAGTATTTTCTGTTCTTCAATATAGTCTAAGTACAAAATAAAGACTCAAATTTCCTACTTTTTGAATGGATCTTAGTTTACTGTTCAGTCCTCAATAGGAAATAAATGTCTTTAGATATTAAATTTACCTTTTTGTACTTCCTTAGTCTGGGGAAAAAAACCTAAATCTTCAATTTTCTTATACTTCTATCTTAATACAAACACACTTCTAGATAATTTATTTTATCTCCTGGTTTGGAATTTATTGTTGTAGATACAGCTGTGACTGCAATACATACAGAAGTTATAGTTAAGCAGATAACTGAACAGTTTTCTAGTTGGTTCTCAGGTAAATTATTGTAAGATTTTTCAGCAGTTCTTACACATACAGAATGCATACAGTCATGGTCTGCGGTACCAGACAAAAAAGTAAACTGCAACCAAGCTCTGGAGCTGTGCATCATCTGTAAAATTAATCTGTAATGACTAAAATGTTTTTAAAGGTTTTACAGAAATGAGCATGAGAATAAGGTTGAAATTACCTAACATTTGCTGCACTATTGGAATCTCTGTTGTATGAAATAACTCTAAGGTGTATAATGGAGTCATACAAAAACATTTGCACCCAAGTGGTTATAGTTTATTTCTTAGGGAATAAATGTTATTTCCTATCATGTTAAACTCTCTAAAAGAAGGATAAATGTTCCTTTATTGCATTAAGGCAAAATAGTACGATTTTCCTGGAAACTTTCTGTTTTT